ATTCTGAGGCTCTGTCTAACATACTTTGGACATGTTGTGAGGAGAGACCGGTCCTTGGAGAGGGACATCATGCTTGGGAGGGTGGAGGGACGGTGCTGGAGAGGAAGGCCCTTTATGAGATGGATTGATTCAGTGACTGGGATAATTGGGATGGGAGTGTCGGAGACAGTGCGATTGGCACAGGACAGTGCGAAGTTTCGGGCTGTTGTACATAGCGTCGCTATGAGTCGCAGGCAACTCGACGGCACATAACGACAACAACAACCTCCTGGGTTTTGCTTGTAGTATCCTGTAATTCATCAAGTTTGTCTTTCATCCATTGAATATATTCAATCACTCCTCTTTTAAATTCTGTGTCAGAAAGTTCCATCAGACATTTTTGCTTCAGGAATACACTTATACTGTGTCACCCTTTCAGGGTGACATCTTGCTTTGCTCTTGTGTATTGTGTGGGATAGCTTGCTTTCTTCGAGACATTGATATGTTCTTGATCTGAAGACAATGCTCTAGAGATCAGTTGTGCAGCTACCCCACTTGTGTGTTTCTCTGAACTTCTGGCTTCAGAGAAATGTCAGTTCAGAGCCTGTGAGGGCAATCTCTTGTTTTTAAGACAGGTTAAGGTGCTCCCAATTAAAGGCAAGTTGATTGCCCAGATGTGTAGGCACTGGTGTGGAGCCAAATGGGGTGAGGCAGGCATAGGGTAGGGGTGATCACAAGGGCAGGTCAAACTCTTAGGGGACCTTGCTCGAACCTCAGCTGTCTGAGTGTGCTCATGATTGGGGTCCCTACTCAAATTCCCGCTGTCCATTTCCCACCCAGTGGTTTTCACTCAGTGGTCCCTGCCTGGTTGGTACTTATGCAGGTGCGCTCACACAGCAGCAGCCCCTGCCCAAGCAGGGTCCTGGATCCAACAGGACCCGAAAAGTCAAAGTCAAATTCCCACTGACCCACTACCCTCTGGCTGGTCTGTAGAGTCCACAAAAGTTCAGACAAATTACCAGTGGCTGGCTGTTTCTGGGCAGTCGGTGTGGCCCAAGAGAGCTTGGCCAAATTCCCCACCCCCTTGGGTGCTCTCCCTGGTAATCGGCAGTGCCCTAGAAAACCCAATCAGGATCCTACCAGCCTTTTCCCTGCCACATTAGTTCCACAGCAGCTCGGCTGGTGCCTCTGGGTGATGGCTGGATCTGCGGCAGCTTCCTGGGGTCACAGGGCTGTGACAGGGGCTGAGGCGCGTGGTTGTGGAGCTTTTGGGCATGGGGGGAAGGGGAGGAAGCAAGAGGCTATTGGGGGGGTGCAGAAACACGGACTGGGACACTACCACCAGGAGGGAGGGCGCAGCTTGGGCACTGCTGGGGGTTTATACAACGGCACCCTGCATGGTTGGGTCACTTTTTGGTGGGCCACAGAGGGTTCATGCAATGGCAGGCCGTCGCTTCTCTGGGGTCACATGGTGGCCGGCAGGTGGTTGCTCCTCCAAGGGTGTCGTAGAAGATGGGGGTGATCGGTTGCTCCTCTGGAGTCACAGGGTGGCAGGCGGTTTCTCACTACTTGCTCCTGGTGGGTGGGTTCCACAGTGGCTTGGCTGGTGTCTTTTGGCTGGGACTCAGCTATCCTGTGTGAGGTTCAAATTCCAGCTCTCTGGATTTTTGCTTTCTTGATGTTAAAGATGTAATTAACATTGAAGGTTGTAGTCTTTGATCTTCTGCACTAAGTATATCATGGACTTTTTTTGCAAGTATGGTTATGCCATCTGCATAATTCAGGTTGTTGTTGAATTTTCTTCCAAACCTGATGCTACATTATTCTTCATATAGTCCAGCTTCTCAGATGATTTGTTCAGCATGCAGATTGAATAGGTATGGGAAAATAAAAGAACCCTAGTGCACATTTTTCCTGATCTTAAACTATGTAAGTGTTCCCTTGTTCTTTTGGGACAACTACTTCTTAGTGTATGTGGAGGTTTTGTATGAGCACAATTATGTGTCTAGGACTCCCATTGGTAGCCACAATTTGTTATGATATACACAGCCAAATGCTTTTGCATAGTCAAGAAAACATAAGTGCATCTTTTTTATAATTCTCTGCATTCAGCCAAGGTCTATCTGATGCTGGCAATGGAATCTCTCAGTGACAGCCTCTTCTGAATCCAGCTTGAGTTTGTGGCAGTTCCATGTTGCTATACTGTTCCAGATAAGCAGACACATAATTTTTTTTAAAATGTGAAATCTATACCTGGACCAGGAGGCAGTCATTAGAACAGAGCAAGGAAACATTGCATGGTTCAAAATTGGGAAGACTGTACACCAGGGATGTACCCTATCTCCATACCTTTTCAATCTATATGCAGAACAGATTATCCAGGAGGGTGGGCTCTAGCAGGAGGAGTGTGGCATCAGGATTAGAGGAAGACTCATCAACAGTCTGCATTATGCAGATGACACAAACCTTCTTGCTGAAACTGAGCAGTACCTGAAGCATTTGCTGCAGAAGGTAAAGGACTGCAGCCTTAAATAGGAATTAAAGGATATTAATATCAAGATAACAAAGATTCTCACACTTGGCCAATTGGCAGCATCATGATATACAGTGAAGAGATTGAGATTGTTAACAGCTTCAGTGTGCTTGGCTCCACAATTAACACTCTTGATACTCTCGGCAGCCAGGAAATCAAGACATTAATTGCATTGGGAAAGTTTACTGTCAGGGACCTCTCCAAAGTACTGAAGAGCAACAATGTCAGTCTGTAGACTAAGGTGCACCAGACCCAGGCCATAGCAATTACTTGTTATTCATCAGAAAGCTGGACAATGACTAGGGATGATAGAAAGGGAATTGATGCCTTTGAGCTGTGGTGCTGGAGAAGATTATTCAATATATCATGGACTGCCAAGAGGACAAACAGGTTTGTCCTAGAGATGATGAAATCAGTCTGCTCCTTGGAGGCTTTGTCTGACATACTGTAGGCATGTTTCAAGGAGGGACCAGTCCTTGGAGAGGGACATCATGCTTGGGAGGGTGGAGGGACAGCACAAGAGAGAAAGACCCTTAATGAGATGTAATGACAGTGACTGGGGGTAATGAGGTTAGGTGTGTCAGAGACAATAAAGTTGGCACATAATAGAGTGGGTTTCAGGGCTATTGTACACAAGAGCAACAACATTCTTAACCAGGAATGCTTTGTTTTCTGTAATGATGTGTCTTTTGGCCATCTGGTGATCTTTGTTCTCTCCTCTTTTCTTTTGCCCCACATATACAGACAAAGGAGACACAAAGAAATATAGACATTATGCTCAGGACCCTCCACGTCACATTTCAGGAGGTATTAAAAGGAGTGGAGGAGATGGGCGGGATCCCATATTGTAGAAAGGGCTATTTCCTTGCCTGTGAAATAATTTTATTGACCTCCTCAGATATTATCTGGAGGATTTAAATGGAAGATGTTTAAAATGGGCATGTGGTAGGCACTCAGTAATACTTTTCTCTTTCATTCCTTTCCCCTCTTTTCTTGTATTCCAGAAATCTCATTCTTTCTACAAACTGCAGTATATCTCCCAGCCAGACTGGGGTGTCCTCAGTAACCCTGACCATATACTCACTATGGTGGAGGAAGCCTGACACCTCCAAGGATCTGAGCCTGGGCCTCTCTGTGTTCACTGCAGGTTTAAGGAATAGGCTTTAGGGTCTTGTAAGGCAGAGGACAACAGGGAGTGAAGTGTAGGGCTTGGAGCCAGTGTTGAAGTCTGAGAGTGTTCTGATAAATCTTTAGCCCATTCTGCTTATCTGCTGAAATTACTAACATTTACTGAGCACTGTTTGACTTTTGATAAGAACACAGTTGATACTAAATGATCACAGCCCATTCCACCTCTCCCCCCTTTAAAATATAATCTTTAGATTCTTGAAATCATGTGGTAAGACAAAGAATTCCTGAGTAGGACTCTCACCTCAGCCCCAAGTATTTCATGTAAAAGAAACTGTGAGGTCCGGGGAATACCTAGGTTAGCCCTGACTGAATGTGCTCTTGTTTCTCTCAGTGCAGGCTGCCGGACAACAGGTGTCTTGTGCCCCCTGGATTATGTAAGGCAGTTGCTCCTGATCCAGGTACAGTGAAATTATGCTATGTGTACACCTGAGGTACATGTCCTTTGTCCATGTGGTCCCACTCATGGCAGTCTCCTCTCTGCTTAGACAATCCCGCCTAACTTCAGCCTCTCTGAAGTGGTCCTTGAGATGCGGAAACAGAGGCCTGTGTCCTGCAGACAGAGGTGCCTCTTATTCTCAAAGCCACAGGCTAAGCTTCTACCTGTTTCCCCTCTATGCTATCTTTCTTTTTTGGTGATGCCACTTCCCATCCTGAAATACAATGTGGTGAGCAACAGGGTAATATCCATATGCATACAAGGAAGTCAGTGAATACCACTAACATTCAAATATATGCACCAACAACTAGAGCAGGTAGGGAGACTCACCCCTGTATTTTCTTTCTGTGAGACACTAGCTCCTTCCTTGCTGTTTATTTCACCTAACATTCTTGGACAGTTGCTTTGAATCGAGCGCTAGGGACTCTCTGTTACCTCTTCTTACTCATTTGTCCCCACCTAATCGAAGAAGCAAAAACCGCGCGACATTCGTTCCTGCAGGCCGCTCAGAGGAGGGGTTAGGCATCCGACTAGCTGCAGGCTGGGCAGCCTAGAGGTCAGCCTCAGACCCCTCCCTTCTCCCCAGGTAATCGAAGAAGCAAAAACCACGTGACATTCATTCCAGCCTATCTACACACCAGTTCTACAGGATGCATCACCTTTACTCGGGAAACATTACGACTAAACTTCAGAGACATAGATCCCAACATAAGGAACTACCATCAGCTGATGTGTTTGGAATCACAGAAGCCATGGAAGCCTCATATATAAGTTATTAGATGGAGGGCTGGTCAAAGGGAGATAGATGTGAAAGGAGGGGGTAGAAGTGGATGGGTATCCTGGTGGATGGTGGAGCAGGGAAATAAGTGGGTAAAGAC